GTTTAGCAAACCCCCCTTCCCTTCTTGGATCCCTTAATCAAATCCGATTGACTAAGCAATAGTCTTTATAGCACACCCCTCACAACAGTGTCTATGCTCCACTATAATTCTACACCAATTACTTCTATAGCTGAATAATCTGGAACTCCTGTATGTACAATTCCTCAGCAAGAGCATAGAATTTGATTACAGTAGTGTATGCTGAGTTTTATGGGAAGGCCCTATGAAAATATCCCCAGACTGTAGCTACTATTTCACTTGATTATAATGTGGAACAAGTTTAAGTAGATCTAAGGGCTGAATTTTACTCCACCCTATTTTTTCATGATGAAAGAAGTTGAGATAAAGCTGAGTCATAATTAGACTGACCTATTTATGAAATATCTTCTTTATTAATTAACCAAAAATATGAGCCAAGTAAATTACATGTTTGTAATTTCACTGTACGTGGGGGTTTTCAACCTTGAATTGACCCTATCATTTTAATCAGGACAATTGGTGGAGTAGCAATGAACCAACATGAACAAATTGCTAAGAAAATGTACTCTGTTCAGAATTCTTTAGGTGTACCTTGAAATAATAGGAATCAGAGTGAATTAAGATCATGTTAATGGATCTGCCATAAATATTTCTTGGGGAATTGCCATAGAAATCAATGGACATTCCTTTTTTTTCCATTTGAGTATTTGTATTTACTTTAAGTGTTCAAAATCAGAAAGTAGGGGATGAGATGGCGACGAGACGCTACACAGTAAGGAGAGGACAGCACACAACAACTTCTATTAATTATGGGCCTGACTTTTAGCTGTTCTGCAAAACAGAAGCCCTCTGTAAATATCAAGGTATACATGTTCACACCACTATGGTGAATTTTTGTTTTTTACTCCTGGGTACCATTTCAATAACACAAGTCAAAATAAGACCTAATGGAAGGCCTATCTAATTGGTGACTCTGCCACTAGTTTTTATCCAATTGTGCCTCTAACTATTAGTCTGTATTGTAGTGATACAACAGCATTTGAATCACTCCCTTTTTGCCATCACTACTACAGTAATGTGCAGCCAAAATTCAAATGCCTCATCAAATAGGCAGTGAAAATCCATACAAGTGTGCTGTTATCTTTGTGCTGTTACTTTAACAACAAAAATCTCAAACTCTCAATCCTCGTGGATGGACTGAGTTCCAGATTTGGCTCCTTTGACAGTAGTGTTGGCTAAGGTTCCTCTCTTTCTTGGTTTCCCATTCTCTGTTTCTGCCGGGTTTTCCTTTTCCCATCCTTTTTCAGATAATGTCTTGTAATTACAACTACAGCAGAATCCTACAACTTAACAGAAAGGGGGAATGTAGGCATATGTGTGTGTGGGGGGGACCCTAGAAAGATGATGGGGTAGAGAATTTGTGTACATTAGACACTGTCAGTCCAGTTATTAAAACGTGAAATGCTTAAATATACATCTCATTAGGTGCACGTTCAGAGTCAGCACACTCTTAATCAATAGGATCCTTCCTACATGCCACAATCCACATTTTCATGGATAGTCTCACTGATTTGAGAACTTGAGCTTCCTCTTTTCTCCTAGGTTGTCTCTGGTCTCACTTATACAGCTATCAGGCCCTGTCTGTATTTTTCCCATTGTTTCCTTGCCCTTTTGCAACAGTATGTGCCTGTCAGTACTAAAACAGCTCTCAGATCACTGCACTGCAAGCTCTCCAAAATCAGTGTCTTATTTGTAGCGTCCCCAATCTCTACTTACTCAGGAAATAAGAGTCTAAATATAGACTCTCACATCACTTTTTCATCTGTTCCCCAGGGCCAGAGCTCCAAGAAACTGTAACGTACAGAAGTGATGTCAAGGGTTGAGATCAGCAGGGTACATTTGAAATGCTTCAAACCACAGTGCAACCAGCTCTGCTGTTCTGAAAATCTTGTAAAAAAGGTGGAGGAAAATGAAGCAACAAGCATTTTCTCTTTTTTTTTTTTCAGAAGCAGAAAGCCATTGCCCCTGGGATTAAACACAAAACGTGTGTGTTAGGGCAGAAGGAAGAAGACAAAGATTAAAATGTAAGTGCCACTTGCTTTAACACGTGAGAGTTTATATCCGTGAGATCAGAGGCAATCACAACTCATAAAAGAACCATAAAGCATACCTGGACAGGCTTGGAACTAGACATAAATCCCAAGCCTAGAATTTACCATGCCTCTCCATACCCACAAACCTGAGGTGTTCAATAGATCATGTATCTAAGAAACATCTGGAAATTTTAGTGGCATGTCATGGCCTACAAATAGATTAGAAATGCAGTGAGATTTAATCAAGCAGCTTTTCAAAACTGCTGCAGTTTAGTACTGCAGAAGAGGCATTGATAAGCATTCTCTACTGCAGACAGCAGGCGAGAAGGAATGATACAATGGCATTTTAGCTCATTTGGAGAGGCAGGTGCACAGTCTTTTCCTTGGATAATGCTGAAGACTGCAAATCCCACCAACAAGAAAGGAGCTAAAAACCAATTACTTCATTTGGTTACTATGGAGATGGACAGCAATATAAAAACTCTATGATAAAACAGATAGAATAGGCTCCAGATCTATGTTCCTTGTATACAGTAATCACTCAGGAGCATGAAGGGCAGAACTTTCAGCAGTATCCCCTCTTCATAATAATGAAAGAGGGAAAAGTGATTTTTATCTCAAGAAGACCAGATCACAGGAATTGATGCTAATGCTGAAGATGGTTCCACCTGCTTAGGTGTCACAGTGTTTGTAATCAGTCTCTTTTGGTTATAATCACTTGAGGCCCAACAATTATCATAATGGCATCAGTTCATAGCTCATAGGAAGAGAATAGTACATCTCAGCTTATGGGACTGATGGAACTGATAAGGATAAGGTAACTTTGAAAGGTGAGAGGCTGAGACCATACCACTAACTGTAACTGTGCAAGCATTGAAGCTCTCTTTTCAGCAGCTGCTTCATTAAAATTTGAGCATGAAGAAGAAAACATTCCATGGATCCTGGATCAGTTGAGGTCCAGGAAGGGGGGGACCTGAGAACGTTTTGTCTTTATAATACACAACAACCAAGCTGTGCATTTTCACACACATCTGGATAGCTATAAAGGCTCTGTGGGACTGGTGGAATTTTTTGAGCAGCCTGATATTTCAAAGTGGAGCTCAGATTTAAGTGTTTAAAAATTACAAAAAAAAAAAAGCAATGAAAACAGTTTTCCATAGTCAAGGGTATTATCTGCTATTCCTGGTGTTTGGCTGAGCGCTGAAGTGCTTGGAGAGGTTTTGGCATGGGGATGTGTGTGGTTTATAGAATGAGGCACTGTTTTTTATTTTCTGTTGTAATGGCTGACTGGCCTTATACTTTTCAATATCCACTTTTTCATGATGGTGGAGGTGGTATCCCAGGGGGTATGTCTAGACTGCAGAGTTTTAAGCTCTGCCACATCCAAGGAACACGCCTGCTTTTCTGAAAAAAAAAATTCAGAAAAGCAGACTTGTTTTTTCGGCATCTCTGTAAACCTCATTCTACAAAGAAGGGATATTCTGAAAGGGCTTTTTTCCTGACATTTGGCCCAGTGTAGACAGGCCGTCAATTCAGCAGAGAACAGTATGCTACTGATTAAGGACTCCAACAGACTTTTTTTCTAGTGGACCAAATATCAGCTTATTTAGTTCTATTCAGGTTTCATTACTGTATCCATTCCCATAGCATCTGAGCTCTCATTCAGAAACTGGAAAATTCCCCATAGACATCAGAAAAAACTCAAGTCCCTACTAAATTTTTTGTAAGCATTTCTAAGGCTTCCATTCCTTTTAGTGACTTGGAGCTACCAGCAAAATACCTAGAGGTATTTGGCTGGTGCGTTCTGACTTGTCCTCCCTGAATCTCTTCTGCTCCAGTTTGCTGATGAATGGTGATTTTTACCTAACTCCTGAAATAAAAGAAAGACGAGCTTATTTTCTTTTGCCTTTTGCAGCTGGTGTGAAAAGGAAAAAAACCCAACAACATTGGTTACATTTTGCAATTTAAAGTGCTTCACTCAGCTTACATCAGCACTACTCTGTGTAGCTCCAGATGGCTTCAGGACTTTCGGAGGTAAACACACAATGATAAAAAATTATGATTTATGCTGAAATTGAAGGAGGGAGAGATACACTGAGAGACTGAAAAGACACAATTATTTCCTGTATGTCAGAGATGAGAAGAGGAAGAAAGAAATTAATAGACATTGATTATGAGAGGTAGGGAATCAGATGCGCCTTTGTATTTTGTTTATAATGAAATTAAAGAGCTATAAATATCAAATGACAAAACCCAAGGAAATATTCCATTTTAACCTGGATTTAAAACCTGTGTGAATAGCACTAACATTGCAGCTCTGCACAATAAATTCTAGAGGTAATTCAAACCTCATGATTCAGGTTGTGGGGTTCAAGAAAGAATGCATTGGCCAGTTCCATTTCCTGGTTTATTTTTGGCTTTTATTTAGATGTTATGCTACTGTTGGAGGAAAGATCCCAGAGGGGATGGCAATGTAGCATGATCCATTATGGAAGCACCTATTTAATTATGCAATGTGTTGTTGAAAAATAAACTAATGTGCCTGTAGGTTGGTGTAACTATGCTTTGTCTCTGAGCTCTTAGCTTGTAAAGTTTGTTTAGCCAGAATAGCTGTCAAACAGCTACACTAGAGGTTACGTACTGGGAGAAAAATGTAGTGAGGAGATGGTTTGGTTTGGATGGAGCTAAAAGAATATAATGCAGAAGACACAATTTAACTTACAGAGTTTTTCCAAATGGAAAGAAAGCAGTGAATATGGGGGAATAGACGTGCTTTATTATTGGTTTATTTTATTTTTTTTTTATTTAAAAGAGATGCTGCCTCAAAACTTCAGGACCTTTATGACTAGTTAAAAACAAGAAGAGCAAAAATACAAAATACTTTACTGGCCAACAAGACTGCATTATGCACCATAACAAAATAAGAACATAAGAAGTGTCATACTAAAGGTCAAGAGAACATAAGCTATGAGGGAAGACTGAAAGAATTGGGCTTGTTTAGTTTAGAAAAGAGAAGACTGAGAGGGGACATGATAGCGGTTTTCTGCTATCTAAAAGGGTGTTACAAGAAGGAGGGAGAAAATTGTTCTCCTTGGTCTCTGATGATAGGACAAGAAACAATGGGCTTAAATTGAAGCAAGGAAGGTTTAGGTTGGACATTAGGAAAAACTTCCTAACTGTCAGGGTGGTCAAACACTGGAATAAATTGCCTAGGGAGGTTGTGGAATCTCCATCTCTGGAGATATTTAAGAGCAGGTTAGATAGACATTGTAGAAGCTGTAGAAACCATTTTCATATTTAGCTAGAAGCCATCTTGTATATCAGAAACCATTTCAGCTTTTCTCTCAAGCACGTAGACCAGAGTGAACTTTCTGTCACCCCGTGAGAAGAGGCCTACAGGATGGGCTATTGGTATGTGTTAATTGGGCTGGCTGGGACAGGAGATGTACTCCCTCGCACCTGTCCGCCATCTTGTTGATAAGGCTTTGTTTTTCCAAATTTAATTGAGGATTTCTGTAATTGGATGCCCTGACGTCAGACTGTTTGGTTAAGGGTATAAAGATACTAGGATTGATTGTATTAGCAGCCTTACTGGGTCTGGCTCTGCTGTGACCACGTTTGGCTCATGCTGTGCTTTATTAATTAATAAAGCTGTTTGTTAGCTGCCTAAACACAGAGGAGCGTGTTTTTGCTTCGACAACATCTATCAGGGATGGTCTAGACCAGTGTTTCTCAAACTGTGCTCTGCGGAGCCCCAGGGCTCTGCGAGACCTCTCCAGGGGCTCTGCGAGGTTGACAAACTGGAAAGCCTTCAAAAGCATAATTGAGAATTGCCTCAAACTGACGCAATTAATGCACACCACTGGGGCTCTGCATACATTTATACACATGTAAAGGGCTCCGGAGCCCAAAAAGTTTGAGAACTGCTGGTCTAGACCGGGCTTGGTCCTGCTGTGAGGGCAGGGGACTGGACTCGATGACCTCTCAAGGTCCCTTCCAGTTCTAGTGTTCTATGATTCTATACTAGATCAGACTAGAGATCCAACTAGCCTAGTGTCCTGTCTTCCCACAGTTACCAATGCCAGGTGCCTCAGAGGGAATGAGCAGAACAGGTATCATCAAGTGATCCATCTCCCCATTGCTCATTCCCAGTTTCTGGCAAACACAGGCTAGGGACATCATCCCTGCCCCTCCTGACTAACAGTCTATCCTCCATGAACTTATCTAGCTCTTTTTTAATCCAGTGTAATATGCAACAAAATGTAATAACTTGCATAGTATCCAGTTACCTGTGAGCCCATTGAAGATAATGCTTCGGAATCAGTCATGCCAAACCCTTCAACCCACCACTAGTGTCCACGCTAAAGTTATTTCGAAATAACTATCTCAAAGTTAGCATTATTCCTCATGGAAAGCAGTAGTAGTTATTTTGAAATACCAGCCTGGAAAAGCCTTAGAAAATGGTGGTAGACCTTGCAGTAGGCAACAATCAACAAATCCAAGTTGTCTTGGACTACGATGGGAAGTGCGTTCCACAGTGAAGGACCTCTGATACTCTCCACTCTGTGAAGCTCTTCCACACTATGAAGGGAAGAATGTAGCATCAACTCCTTGGCTGTGTCTAGGCTGGCAATTTTTTCCGCAAAAGCAGCTGCTTTTGTGGAAAAACTTGCCAGCTGTCCACACTGGCCACTTGAATTTCCGCAAGAACACTGACTTCCTACTGTCTGAAATCAGTGCTTCTTGCGGAAATACTACGCTGCTCCCGTTTGGGCAAAAGTCCCTTTTGTGCAAAGCTTTTGCGCAAAAGGGCCAGTGTAGACAGCTCAGATTTGTTTTGCGCAAAAAAGCCCTGATCACAAAAATGGTGATCGGGGCTTTTTTGCGCAAAAGCGCGTCTAGATTGGCATGGACACTTTTCTGCAAAAAGTGCTTTTGCGGAAAAGTGTCGGTGCCAATCTAGATGCTCTTTTCTGCAAATGCTTTTAACAGAAAAGTTTTCCGTTATAAGCATTTGCGGAAAATCATGCCAGTCTAGATGTAGACCTTTAGTGTAGTTTCCTCCCTTCTACTGTGTTTTTTTTTCTCTGGGAAAGGGTCATTGGGACCTTTGGCCGAGCTCCTAATATGAATTTAAGTATCTAACTCATTGATATCAATGGTAGTTAGATGCCTAAACCTCTCTGAGGATCTGGGCCTTACTAATTAATTCATCAGATTCAGTTAATGTTATCCTTCTTTCTGATAGCTATTGAATGGAAAAGGAGGTGTCAAATGAGTCTCGGTAGTTCCCCCTAGAAAATCCACCTCATCCTGTAATGGAGACAGTGCTGTTGCTCCTATAATTCCAAAGGATCAAAAAACACCTTCCACAAAACAAACAAACAGATAAAAAGAGAGACAAGGGCCCAAATTTAAGCTATAATGTGGCAACACTTTTCGCAGAAGCAGCACATTTCTAAACACCAAGCTCCACCCATAAAACACAAACACTAAGGAAAACAAGTCAGCTATTAGTAAAGGCTTGAAACTGGCAATATAATGCTAACTTTAAAATGTACCATTCAGAAGCCCGTCCTGATGTTAGGGGTACAGCGGATATGGAAATGTGTAAAGCTTTGCGAGGTGTTTGAACTATGTACAAAGTACCTAACTTGTCATGAACTGTTGTCACTAAGGGCATGTCTACATTGGGAAATTATTTTGAAATAACTTATTTCGAAATAACTCCCAAAATAATTTTGAAGTAGCATGTCCATACTATAGGGAAGCCTCAAAATTAGTCTGAGGCAGGCTCCGTTAACGTGGATGCGCTACCTCAACTTAGAGCCCTAGGAAGCACTGGGGAGGAATTAGTTTGAATGACTCTGGGAAGAAGTTATTTCAAAATAGCAGCACCAGAGCATCCACACTAATGCTGTTTCGAAATAACGATCTCAAAATTAGCGTTATTCCTCATGGAAAGCAGTAGTTATTATTTTGAAATACCAGCCTGTTTTTTTTTTCCAAAATAACTGGCATGGTAGTGTGGATGCTCTGCTTGTTATTGCTGAGTTTTGGTTCTCTTCCAAGGGCTCTTATGTGTCTCATCACAACATATTGTCCTTCAGTTTGTACTGCAACTTCCTTTAGATAATCAATCCCCCACCTCTTGTATTTCCTCTGTAAATTTGAAGAAGTTCCCAATTCTCTCTGTTTCCTATCTCCTTTTGGCTCTTGCTTGCATTTGTTATTCCCTAATATGTTTGCTAATATGTATTACCTTGTTACCAGTGTTCTCTCCAAGCTCAGCTTAACAGGTAATTAATCAGCCCCGCCCAGTCAGAGGCTCAGGGCTCCATGCTGAATGACTGGGTTGGGCTGATTAAACTGGGACAGCTTCACAGGTGATTAGAGGGAACACTGCTTGTTACTGTCTATTGCTTTGCCCACCTGGTATCAACTCATATGATGTAATCATTTTACCTTTCTTATTTCCTCCATACACTAATCATATAAAAAGCAACTGAAAACTCTGCCTCCATTTGTAATGAGCACATCTGTTCTTCTGCTCTGCCTATGGAAATGGAGCTTCATGCACTTTCGAGGACCAGAGGAAATTGTCTGCACATCCATTCTGTACATTTTTATTGTTATTACACTGACTCACTTGCATTTCAAATGCATTATGTTTTTTAAAAAAATGCAAAAGAACTCCAGAAAGAGCTGAATTGCATTCCCCAGACTTTTTTTGAAGTCCTTTTAATTAACAGCCAGGTAAAAAGGACATTCACATACCTACCAATCCAGAAATATTTCTCTCTCTCTCTCAATACATTTGTCCTCATATTTCACCTATTCTTCTTATTCACTTATGGGAGTCAATCAATGTTTATTAATCATGTAGTCAAATACCAATTCATTACATGAAGGTACACTAAAGACAATACATCCCACCCCCTCTGGATCTCTAGTTAATTTTCCTGCCTATGCTGGATACAGTTCCTAGATAAAGGATGTTTCAGATAATAAATGCTAAATATTAAAGTATGTGAATTAAAACATCACGAGGCAGACCCTCAACTGGTGTAAAGTAGTATTGCTACACTGTGACGTTTTGACACTTTATATTTATTAGTAAAGGTCTAAAGATTACTATTATTGAGATAATTAACAGCTTATTTTGTTACCTCTGACTCAGTCAATTTGGGGTGGGATCAGAGGGTAGAGACAAACGGTCCACGCCATAATCCACTTGATCATCTTCAAATATGTCACTGGATCTAGGGCTTCCCAAAGGCTTTCCAGATGGGAGAAGGGAATCTGGAGCACCCCATCCCCCATAAAATTAATATTTTTATAAAATGCCCCAATGTGTGTTAATTTTCTCTGTGTTGTAGAGAAAGGGACTGAATGATGTAAGTTATTTGCTGTATTTTTAATTCACAAACGATGGAACCATTGGCTTTCAGTGGGAATGACTTTTTTCAGATTAAAGGAAAACTCAAATACGAACTAAGAAAAATAAGGAGGGAGAGAGAGCAAGAGAGAGCACACAGGGTGTCACCATTATAGCAAGCGCTCTTACAAAATGGCAGCAACCCCTGCAGACTTGTAAGCATTCAAAGGAGCACAGATAAAAAGATAATGGTTACTAAGTGATTGCCATGAGTTAGTCCTAGCATGAAAATGTCTTTTTTAGTTAATTCTCTCTGCTCAAAAAAAAACCCCAACAAATGGTCTGGTAGCACTTTATAGACTAAAGAAATATGTAGATGGTGTCATGGGCTTTCGTGGGCACAGCCCACTTCATCTGAAGAAGTGGGCTGTGCCCACAAAAGCCCATGACACCAGCTACATGTTTCTTTAGTCTATAAAGTGCTACCAGATCATTCGTTGTTTTTTCTGTAACAGACTAACTCGGCTACCCCCTGAAGCTACTCTCTCTGCTCAGACACCCTTGATATCAAAGTGCCAGTTCTAGCTGTGCCAGGAGCAGAAATCAGCAAAGCTCTGGCAATCACTACTAGTGCTATTGTGCA